TAAAAACCAAAACAAAATAAATTAAAAAAACCTCACAGTACTTTGACATCACAAAGGCCTGTCAAAAACCTGCATCAGTGATTATTTGTGAAAATCTTTAAAGCTTCAAATCATTGCAGTGAGTTGAATTATCCACTGCCTCTGAACACAATTCTGATGTAAACCCCTTTTTAGCTGTATGTCAGACAAAATCTAGGACTTCATTGTCACTTCTCCTGGTACCCTCCTTGGTAGAACTGAACTGAGCTCTATGCTTAGCTGCCAAACAGTCATTTTCAGCTGGGGAAGACAAGTGAGGGCATTTTTTATAGTAAGTTTACATTGCTCATCACTGCAATTCCTTTTCTGCCAGTCCTCATACTTAGGGTGGAAGGTGAAACATCTAGATATTGCCTGTGCCATCAATAAATCAGACTATGGGCCAGTCTGTGCAGTGGAAAGAGCACAGCAGGGAATTCTTCTGTTCAGGCTGTAGCAGGCCAGTATGGTTCTACTCTGCAAGGACAAATCAGTGATAAATCTTCCTCTGCATCCCCAAACACGGCTCCTTCTACAGCCTCTTTTGAGCCCCTGTGTCTTTCTGTGCACATATTTATGGAATAGGATCGGGGGATCAGAAAGGAACCTCTGAGCAGCGTTGCCTTTTTGTGACTATCCCCGCCCTTCCAAACAAGGTGCAAGATGGCACTTGTGCACACAGAGAAGTGCTGGGACATCTTCCCTGCAGGACCCCTTCAGAGATTTCTTCCTGACATCACCTCTAACTATTTCCATTTCCAAGAAGCTCTTGAGCAGCAAGCAGATTGTCCCTTTTCCTTTGGAAAGCTGACAAAACCAAATCAGTAAATAAGAAAATTAACTCTTCACAAAATGACAAAACTGAGTAAGGAAACATTTAAATAGATGCTGTCATACTGGTTTTCTGAAATGCTGCCCTTCTTGCACGTACTCAGTCTGCAGTTCTAGGGGCTTTACCAACTAGATGAAGAGGAGGACAAAGGAGGAAACAAATTCCCTAGGCAGAGATCTTCCAGAACTGTGTATTCCGCCCGGCTGGGTGTGCTGCACCACCCGAGCAGCTGCAGCCAGAAATGGCTGTGGGGAGGCAGCAGCTGCTGCCAGGCTGAAAGGAGGTTTGTGACCCTCCAAAAGAATTCCTCCCCTCTCGCTCAAACTCTCTGCACCTCCTCGCAGTTGCTAGCAGCAGTGTGCACACTTACTCAGCGTTTTTCCCTTAGACAGGTTACACTAAAAAAGCAAAAGCAGCAGTGAAGGGTCAGGGCAGGAGTAACTGTACTTGAACACTGATGACTCCGGAGGGATTTGTTGCATTCTTCTCAGCTGCCAGGGTTCAGGAGTGCTCAGGTTACCGGCAGGAAGTTCACAAAGTTCTCTTAGGAAGGATGGATTTTGCATCTTGCTTTCCCTGGGTGGGAAATACGTTGTTCCCCAAGAGCTACACCAGTTCTGAAAACTTTAGTAATGCAAAGCGATAGTTTCCTGCTTTATATAATGCAGAGCTCAAACACACACCATAGGTGCAGGATGGTATTGGGCATAGTAAGTCGCAGGCTTGATTAAGTACAGCACAGCTGCAGAGTGTTGTGCGTGTATTAGTTTCAAAGTAAACCACAGTCAGCAGGGCAGGGAAACTAGCCCTTGTGTTAATGGCACAACTGTTTTGAAGCTTAATTTGCTCTTGTCCTGCAGCAAGAACAGAGCCAAAGAGAGTAAAAATAGCTAAACACGTTATTAGCATGATGACAATTACGACTAAGCTCATACCAGATATCCCCACTCTCTTCCCACGCCCATCTCTATTATGTTCTGAGCTCTTGATAGTAAAGGAGAAGGTATGCAGAAGACTTGAGATCACTGCTCACATCAGAGAAACCACTTTGAACATAGTTCTGCACACACAGGTAATGTATCATAATTAAGGGTAATGGAAATTGAACATGGGCACAAGATGTTGGTGTCTGTACAGTTTCCAGACTCAGGTCTGAACCATGGAAGGCAAATTCAGCCCCAACATGAGCAAGTAAAAAAATTCAGAGGCTTTCATATCTGCCTTTTACCCCTGTTCAGCAAGAGCACTGAGCACTTAACTTTGAGCATGTACATATATTCACCAAAGATTATGGGAATAATCACACGCAGAGATAGACAAGTGTTGCTGCAGGAGCTATAAAAGCATGTAATTTTAATGCTTTTTTTTCCAAATGCAGCTAGATGGTGCTGTACAGTTTCAAAATGTATTAATGAATTTTTGTTAATTACTTTCATTAAGAAATTTTTTTTTCAAGTTCTTATACATATATTTAGAGGAAAGAGGTAAAAGAGTAAAAAATATAAATGAAACAAATATATTGTTGCAAAGTGTTTTTACAAGTATTCTCACTAATGTTTTTGCGAGTCCCTTGTCACACATCCATTTACATTTTGTCATCAATTTCTCTTTTACAAAAGCCTACTACATGATAGTATGTACATTCATCCTACATTTGGTCTTTCTGTCTGCACAAGCTGAAGTTACTAAGGTTCCAATGGTGTAAATGGAGAGAAATTTGACTTACATATGGTTTGTACATGGGAAGAAAAGTGCAATCATATTCTTCTTGTTAGAAGTCTGTATTAGTATAAAGACCCACATCAAACTGCATTTTCTGTATATGGGAAAAAAGCACTTTCAATACAATTCTCATAACCTTTAATTTGGTGAGCAATTGTAATAATGCCTATTATTACTTTTTGAAAAGTCATGTTTTGGTAAAACGCAAAAAATTATTTGTTCTGAAATAAAAGCATGGAAAAGAGTGCCTCAAATTCTCAATCATTACAAACATTAAAGACCTTTTCTTCCATTAATTTTACTGAGATAGTATTTTTAAAAAACCCAAACCCCAACATATTTAGCAAAACCAACATTCAAAGGCTGCAGAGAGAAAACCAAAAAGCTGGCCGTTAATTTGAGGTTTTCATGACTGCTGCCTCTAAAAGATGACAAATCCTTTGTGAGCACATCTCCCTTCTGGTAAATCTGCTCTGATCATCCAGATGTCTATTTCAGATCTAAAGGTTTTAGAGATGTATGTGTCCCTTTCTTTGCTATCCACAAAGTCTTCTAGAGGTCACTGAGATGCTCCAGTCTGTTTTCATCACTGATGTGTTTTCTCTCAGTCATTCCCCTCCAGACTTGGAAGAGAAAGTGCATCACTCCTCACTTACTTGCGGCTAGTCAAGCTATGACATACACTCTGTTACTCCTCCTCCAGAGGGCTTCTAAGTGTGAGGATTTTTCTTTCTGCATTTTACACAAGTCGCTAACATTTTAAAACATTACAGCAACTTATGGTTCTCTAGTAAATCATCAGAGAAGTTCAACCAATTGGCGTCATCAGCCCAGTAAAAAACATGCTTCTACCTGCTGCAAAGAAATGTCATACTGTATTTCTAAATACAGTATAAATAAATGTTACCCTAAAATAACCACGACTTATGGTACAATGCCAAAGGCAAAAGGACTGAAGGCATGAAATAATAATTCCACAAAATTATTATTTCCACAGAGGATGGAAGTAAGGACGGGTAACCTGGGAGGAATACAGAGACATTGTCTGAGCACACAGGGATGAGGTTAGGAAAGCTAAAGCCCAGCTGGAACGGAATCTGGCCAGGGGAGTCAAAGACAACAAGGCAGGCTTCTGTAAGTACCTAGGTGACAATAGGAAGTCTAGGGAAAATGTGGGCCCACTGCTTTTCCCATGAAGAAAGGCTGAGAGAGCTGGGACCGATCAGCCTGGGGAAGAGCAGGCTCCGGGGGATCTCATCAACGTATACAAACACCTGCAGGGAGGGTGCAAAGAGGACGGAGCCAGGCTCTTTCCAGCGGTGCCCAGTGCCAGGACCAGAGGCAATGGGCACACACTGACACACAGGAGGTTCCCTCTGAACATCAGGAAACACTCTGTCACTGTGAGGGTGACCGAGCGCTGGCACAGGCTGCCCAGGGAGGGGGTGGAGTCTCCATCCTTGGAGGTACTCAGAAGCCATCTGGACATGGTCCTGGGCAACCGGCTCTGGGTGGCCCTGCTTGAGCAGGGGATTGGAGATGACGACCTCCAAAGGACCCTTCCAACCTCAACCAGTCTGTGATTCTGTGATTTTGTGAAAGTTACCATTTTTAAAGGTACTTAGAACTGTAACTGCAGTATTTAGAAGGCCACTAGTAACGGTGTTATTCTTTATAAACCATACTTCATTCACACTGTTCCTGAGAGAAATAGGTTATTTATTTTCTCTAAGGAAGCAGATTAATATGCCATGCAAAACACAACATCATCAGTGGAGTTGTCCGTAGCAGAAAAAATTATTAAACAACTGTTTAACAAATTGTTAGAACTTTTTATTTCCTTAAGGCAGTGTAAAGGAAGTTACATATCTATTTTGTATGATGTGCGTCATTATATAGAGCTGAAACTTAAGAAATAGAACAATAAACAAAACATCCACAGAGAACTATCTCTGGAAGGTCTTCAAATCAGAGGTATTCATGTAAGATGTGAATGTGATTTTATTTTAATTCAAACGCAAAGGGTGCAAGTTACAGAGTTGGGATCAGAGTCAAGAACAACTCTGTATGTTCTGCCTTGATCTTCAGTGAAGCATGAACATGGGTCTACTGTGCAAACCAAGTTAAACTGAGAATTAATCAGTGATAGTTGCTTTAGATTTACAAACAGACGCAGAAGACAATTCGCTCCTTACACTACTATTATAGCTGGTAAGAAAGACACCAGGTCTGTAACTCCTGACAGATGTGTTCTGTTCAATGCTAGTTTAGAGAAAAAGAATGAAATGTTCTATTTACATTAGCTTTTTGGTTACCCTTGCCTAAAACAATGGTTCATCTTGACATAAAGTAACAGAGCTACTAATTGTATCTGGTAAAAATTTGGATGCATTGAACTAAAGGCTCTGGAACAAAATAAGAGAGTTACCTGTCGCAGTAACTCCTCCTGACGCATCCTAATTCGCTCCCGCTCCATCTGGATTCTCTGGAGCCTTAACTTCTGCTGCTGCTGTTGCTGTGTGGTCAGTGCACTGGGCAGGTTCAACAGCCCTGGCTGCGGAGTCTGGGGAGGACGAGACTGCTGCGACATGGCTGTGCTGGGTGTTATTTGGTGCTGGTGATTCATGACTGTGGGAAAGAAAATAAATCATGGCTGGTTAAGTAGAATTGTACTTTAAGATAACAGAGGACCTGGGACACATGTTGCTCATTTGCAGTAAGTATATAGAGTCATTAGAATTACTGTATTTCAAGTGACTGAGATAACTACTCTATCATCCGGCAAAATCTGGTACTAGTAATGGCTTAATAAATGATTTTTAATATTTCATATGTGTATAAAACATGAATACTTATAATACAGCAAGTATTTATATTCATCCTGGTATGTTCAAATATTTACCTAATGATATGTCATAAATGACATGCAAGTTTTTTAATTGAAAATTCCTCTACAAATGTGTGCCTATAATACGCGGTATGCTAGTAAAAATGTTTTCAATCTTAACGTTTTCTTTATTGACAGATCTAAATTAATTATTGTAAGAATAATTACCAGCATAAATAGTGAGCACTCTGTACCACTATGAAGTAGATGACACACACTTTTTTCAATGACACGCAGATGAGAGATGTTCCAGTTCCAGTTAAGAAGCAAACCTCGTAGGAGGTCCTGTTCCCTGGCAGACTGTAGTCTTCCTGTATTATCACGGATGAGTTACAATCCCTGTGTACTTATCTATAAATGAGGGTTAATATTATTCTCGTATCTCGCAGAAGTGTTTTAAGCACTCACCTCACAGGCACTCACACATTACAGTAATGAAAAGCAGCTTGAGAACTGTAACTGAAGAACAAAAGTGCATCTAATGAGATCCAGCAACAGGCTGGACCATCAGAAGTTACAAAAGTAGCGCAATAAAAAGACACCAGAAACTATCAGAAGCTACATCTTTCCATAATAATCTTAACATACTTTTACTTACTTTTTCAAAGCAGGTGAAATGCAAGGAAAACATAAATTTATAAATAAAAAAGCAAAGTAGTGAGAATCACTGCTAAATTTTCTTGATAGATGTCTTTGTCTCTTTTGAACAAACACTGCCCTTTCTTCCACATGGCCTCAGCCATTCTGAGTTTCAGGGTGCAGGCAGTGTAAAGTCAGCTGAGTTCACACTATGAGAATTACTATCAATAGCAAAACAGTGTAATTGCAAGTTATTAATAGAATCATACCAGTTTCATTATCTAACCCAGCAAAAATCTTTATCAATCTTGTACTTGAACTGCCCAAATTCACTGCTGCTTTAAACAGTTACATCAGGCAAGAATCGAGTTTAATGAGTTCTTAAATGCAAGCCTGTATAAAATGAATCCAAAAAAGATGTCAAGTTCAGGCCTGGCATAACTCCTCTCAGGAGTCACATAAGTCAGGTAAGGCTGAATTTACAATTCACGGTTTCATTTGCAAATGAAAAAGGTCTAATAAATTAGAGATTAAGGTGTCTGATTTTAGACCTGAATTAACACAACAGAGGGATTTGTAACTCTGCCGTGAATTCCAGATATGCAAGCACCATATTGTATAGTTAATGTCGTACAAAGAAAACCAAAATAGTCTTTTGCACATTCGATTAACATCTGAAACCTTATCTGTTGGGGTATTCAGATTTGGGAATGAATCATTAATTCCCAACCTTTGGTAGGATATTCAAAAGGTTCGTCTGGGGAATAACTCTATAGATGGCAGGTGAGAAACGGGACCTTTTGTAAGCAAACCTGATTTATACCCATGTAAACCAGCTAAACCCTTTCATTTGCAGACAGAAGACTGCTGCTTAGACAGTTAATGTTGCTTAGACTGTTAATATTACTTAAATCAACATAATCTTTGCTGGACAAACTCAGAAACTATAAATCAGAGCAGAATTCTCTGTTGGATGGGCATTTTTATTGAGAGAACTGTTATGAAAGAAATTGCAAGTCTTTGTGCAGCTCCACAGTCACTCTGGTAATCATGCCACAAAGCTAAAATAATCATTTGGCACCTTTGACAGCAGGTATCACTTGGCCATGGAAACAGAACCACCCCTTCTCTCTAGAAATGTTTCCCTCTTAGTAATTGGCTTGGAAAAAAACAGAGGAAAATGAGACAGAGAGGGGAAACTGCATAGCCTCTGCTTGCACCTCCTTTTTCAGTAAAAGGTATCAGTTCCCAGCAATGCAACCTAATGCCTTTTGTGAACCGTGAACAGTTCCTTCTTCTCCTTCTCCATCTTCACATTTCCAGTAAAAAACACGTACAGTATCTAAAGCCAGTCTGGATTACAAGTGGTAACCATGTACTGTTTTAAAAATTAACTGACATTTTTGCAAGGATTCTTTCACTAATGGGGCAATAGCATAATTAACAAAGCTCTTATCTTTTAACAAGAACACCCCAGGTACTCAAATATTCTCTAGAAGAGACACAATATTTTTCTCTCCAAAGGACTAAGATTTGTATCTTCCTTTTTATCTTTCAGTCATTGTTCTTACTCATATGAGAACTATGCTCATAGTTCTAAGCTAAGACAGCTAAGTTCTATGCTTCTCAGACCTGAACATATTTATGCTGTGTACATGTCTGACCTTGAAAGATACAGTACAGCAAACACTGTTAGAGTGTGCATTGAAAGAAATGGGTTGATGACTTTACAGCCTGGTTCAAATGTATGATACCCATACAATGCAAAATGCTGAACTTAACTCACTCTGCCAGTTCCAAGTTAAAATTTTTTTGAAAGGCTGACTTTACGCTAGCCAGCTTTCTGCCAAATCAGGTACTGTCTTGTCTTTCTGCAACTGGAGTAAGGCAGGTACACAGGCATTAGGCCAGCATAAACTTTGCCCTGCTTTGTTTGACAGAAATCTTTACATGTGCTCACATCAGATCTGAATCAAATTTTTCCTTCTGGGTGATCCAGTATCACACAGGTAAAGACTACGGAACCATTTGAGAGTGCAGCCGCATGGTATTTTAGCTTTGGTGGCAAATCCAGCTCAAGAAATAATCCAAGTTAAAAGCAGCGCTGCAGTAATAGAACCTTTTCAGGATTCAGTTTATGTGTGGTCCACAAACAGCTGTATCCACACAAATGACATCATGCTTCCACATGAAACCAGAGTGTTGCCGTTTATCACCTCTTCCACACCCAGCTGTTTGTTCCTGCCCACATGCAACCCCATTACTGAGCTGGCAAAAGTATTCTTGTGGCCACACAGCAAACTAAAAATTGCCTAGGGATAAAAAGATTATTTTCTGGCTAGATCAGTTCCCAGCAAGAGTAACTGGGTACCCATGAAAATGCTTATGGGCAACCAATGTAGGAGTCCAGGTGGGAAAAATAAGCTGGTTGCAGGAAAGACGGACCAAAGCCAGCACTGATCCGTAACTTTTCAGTAGTAAAAAACCAGAAAGGTTAGCAATCTGTAGTGCTGAGAGGGGAAAGGTAGGAATGACAGCTGGGTGCAGAAATCAAACCACTTTCATAATGGGAAAACCACCTTCTAAGATGCAGTGAATCTACTCTTATTCACATTAAAGTAAGTAAGAAATATTGTAAGTACAATTATATAAATTATATCAGTGTAAATTTGGTGTTAAATCGCCAGAACCATAAGCACTTAGGCAGGAATTTAACTCTTCTCATATGCATAAGCATGTGCTTAAATTTTTGGCATGTCAATGGTTGAGTGAATAGAACAATCATGCTAAGAATCCAGGCTGGCTGAAGGATTATCACAATATAGCAAGTTCTCCATAAGAAAATTGCTTTCATGTAAGTAGCACATGCAAATGACAGAACCAGGCAAAATTAAGTAAAGATTAATAGCCTGTACGGTGTGTCTGGGATACACTCAGGGCTAGGGCATGAGTTGTAGTACTATTTGTCACAGCTATTGCCTTTGCTATATAAAATACTCCCTTCTTCATCAGCTCATCTGTACCCATGTTGTATCACAGCTGAAATAATACATGCAAGAATGCAAAGAACAAGACAACATCAAAATGCTGAGGAATACTTCTCCCTGAGCTATGGTCCCCAAAAACCCTCCAAGTCATTTCTTCTCATGGGGACAAAGAATATTTTGGTCCAATGAACTCTGTATCTTGCAGTCAATTACTTTTCTTTCAAGCAATACTATCCATTGTTACATACCATCAAAGAACTACAGGAAGCTCAGTACAATGAGTAAAGTAAGCATTCCCACACCTTGACATTAGGAGTATAGAAATTACATCACACCGAATCTCCTACAAGTCAAGTATGCCGTAAGTATGTGATCATATTTTTAAGAAACAAAATCCATTCTACTTCCAAAAAAAAGTTATTTACATCATCTGGGTTTGATAAAGCTATAGCTATGGCAAAGTTTTACAAACTTCAGTGCAGGAGATGCACAGAAGGCTAAGGAGTAGGTAGGAGCCATCCTCAACCAATTCCACCACCGGCATTATTTGGCTCTGCTCCTCGTTCAATCAGTGCCTTTCTCCTCAGAGGTTTGTAGGTCTCAATCTCTGGACACAGGTCCACGAAGAATAGGTCTGTTCAAAACTACCACTAATTGGAATGGCTTTTGAAGAACCATTGACTTGGGTCATAGAGACAAACTTACTGAAGGCTATTTGAACCCGCTGACACCACATTTTTCTCCAGCATACACTGCTTCAAGAAAAAATGGGATTCAGGTAACTCTCCAGTCAGTTTGAATACCAGACACCTACTTTCATAGCAGCCCAAACTGGATAGACTCAGAAACATTAAGTATAGAGGAGTCATGTATCTGTGCTTTCAAACAAATACAGATAGTTTTGTCGAAGTACCTGGATAGAGTATGTTTATGATAAAGTCTAACTTAAAATAGAGCATTAAATTGATATGGTGATAAAATCAATTTCTTCTTTTAATATAATTCAAAACCAGTTTGTAAATACACAGATGCTAAGGCCCAGGTTTTGATCCTACCAACTGCGTAACAGCATCATTCCACTTGAATTATTCTTGAGTGCAATCACAATAATGTCCCATAAGCAAATTTAGGACATATGTGGGCTACTTTTGTGAAGTCAAATCCAGTTTTTGGGC